TCTTGTCGCGGGATGCTGAGGCGACCAGCTGTCCGTCAGGCGAGAACACCACCGCGTTGACATAGTCTGTATGGCCCTCCAGCACGCTGCGACATGCGTCCCAGTCTGCGTCTCTGTCAGACAGCATCTTCACTTCCCGAAGGGCCTGATCAACCAATGTCTTCCTTACAACGCTCGCCTCTGGTGCAAAGACAAGCGCTGACGAGTACACCTGCAGAGGTGCCTCTGCTAGAATGGAACAGAAGCGCAGCACAAACCTGTTCGCATCGCGGAGGAAGCCTGCACACCCGCTTGTAGGTGACTGAGTTCACAGTCAGTGTCTGTCTTGTCGTGTCTGCCACGCACCGACTCTTACCGCTACCAACGCCTGCAGCCTTGCCAGCAGGCGCACGCACTGGCCTGTCTCCCCCATCAGACTCATCGCTTCAAGCCAGTGCAGCAAATGCGTCTGGAGAAAGACGTGCACTGCATCTTTATCTGCAATGCTCTGTTGGCTACGCTCAAGATGTTGCACCCAGTAGCGGCACGCGTACTGCAGCTCAGGCGGCATGCTGCTGGCCACTGTCTCTTCTTCCACCTCGCTTCTCAGCGTCCCAGGCTTCAAGAGGCTGCACATATCTTGTCGAAGGCCATCAGGTGCATACATGAGCTGAAGACAGCAGGACGCCAGCTTCTTGTGTGCGCTCCTCTCCTCTACCCAGAAGCTGTCGTCGCCGCACCTGTCTTTGCTGAGGAGGAAGTCACGAAATGAAGGGTGGTGCAGACGAAGCAGCTGGGTCCGGTCTTCTGAAATGTTCAGAATGGCATGCAGGTCTTCAAATGTCTGGCGAACGTCTTCCTCTACCACGTGGAGGAGTGCACTTAAACCACTGGCAGATAGAGGCGACAGCAGCACCACAATGCTTCCGAGAACGTACCTCAGCATGTTGCAGTGCTCTTCTCTCTCCTTGTCTGTGTAGTCCGCCGAGACTGAGCTCTTGAGTACAGTCACATAGATCTCGTTGAGATGCTTCTCTGGCGCGGCGACAGTGTTGCTGTCAGTGCACAGGATCGTCTCAAGCCTCTTAGCTGCAAATCGCTTTCCATCTCGGATGAAGCGACAGGCAGTGGCAGCCCATATGAACAGACCGCTTGCGCTCTGCACCAGCTGCATGATGATCTCTGCGCCAGGCCAGCCAGCGCGCATACAGCGTTCTCGCCCGATGGACTGAAGTCTATCTTCCAGGAAAAGGCCTATGTCGTGGTCAACGATCGACGGCGAGATGTTGTGCAACACAACGTCTTTGTGCTCTGTGTCTGCTACCTGCCCGAACCCGTGCCGGATCGGCACTTCCGGCCTGCTCGTCAGAAATACTCGGAGCCGGACGCCTGTCATTGACGTCCGCGCCTCGGCCAGCAGCTGCACGATGATGCGGATGTCGTACTCATTGTCGCACTCGTCGAGCGCGTCGACGACTACGACGTATATTTTCGACTCTGATTCCAGCTCGTGCAGCTTCGACAGCGGACGGCAGACGAGGTGCTGCCACTGATCGCGCAGCGACTGGCTCACAATGTCGCTCCGCTCTGCAACAGCGTCGCTGATGTGCTGTCGCACTGCTGGCACGCTGTGCGCAAGCTGCACCGCGATGCTCGTCACAAACTTGCCCGCATGCCCTACGTCGCCGCCGCCGCGCGAGAAGAAGAAGCTCGCTGCCAGCCGCTGCCTGTTGTGGTATCTGCGCGCCACGGTCCGCGCGATGGTCGACTTGCCCGTGCCCGCCAGCCCGCTCAGCCAGAAGATGCACCGCTCATCTTGGCCATCCGCCCAGCTGTGTATCTCGTGTAGGAGGTCGACGCGGGTATCAGGGAGGCAGGCAGGCTCGTGCTGCTTCGCGAACGAGTTAAAAGGCGCGTCGGCTGCCTGCGGTAGACGACCCAGGGTGTTCTCGTGCCCTAACGATGGGTTGTCAGCAATTCGTTCTTCTTGACAGCTCGACGGCCCTCGAGCAGTCCCGCAACGTACCGATGTGGACCGAGCCGTTGATGTTGTTGGCTTGGACGCTGGAGTATGCGTTGCCGAACGCTGTGTTAGATGTTGCAGAGACCATGGCATCGCTGCAGCAGCGCGTGCATCAGCGATGGAGTGTCGGCGGTGATGGTCTGCAGCGCAGTGCCTCCTCAGCCTCAGCCTGGCGGCCCTGCAGCCTGCAGTCTAGCAACCTCAATAAGTCAGCCGCGAGGACCAACGCTTGACCAAGCATGCATGCATGCGCCTGATCGTCGACTCGCTCGCTCCGCCGTATCGCCTGGATTCGCAGCGTATCCGATAGATTGTGGCCACATAGCTACACCAAGGGAATCTTTGCAACGCGATGGACACCGACAAAGTCATCCGGCTAGGCAAGTATCCTACGTAACGAACGTTGGAAGAATACCATCTTGAACGACCAGACCTCAATGCGTCCAATTCGTTCCAGTCTCGAGAGATGACATGGGAAGAACTGCTACAGGCGAGTGGAATATGGGATTTGTAAGTATGGTACTGACTCAACTATAGGACGTCCACGCTGCGCGCGTTCAAGTTGTGTAAGTTGCCGATAGAGCAGCCTTGTTTACAACTTAACATTGAATAGCTTCGCGTCTGCCAAATCGTTCGTGAGCACTGCACTACAACTCCAGGAAAAGCTAAGAGGCAAGCTGGAGATCCCCTCGTTCTTCTTTGACAGGATGTACCTTCAGCCAAGCGGCTTTTGCGGGTATGACGTCTGGCTGGACAAGAACGAGGAAGTGGAGTTCTACAGTATGTACGATAGCGTGGGAAAAGCTCATGACACCGTCGGGATGTCGCTCATCAGGCCCTAGCGTACTGGTCCCGCTTCACAGTCAAGCAGATGTACAAGCTCCAGCCGAAGAGGACGTTCACGCCACACATCTCCAACCATCACAACAGGGTCGGCAATTGGAACGCTGACTTTGCGATACATGGGCCGCAGAGCACGCGGCATGGGTGGGAATGGTACGAGATGGGGTTCTTCGCATGCTGGACGCAGTCGGGGTCGCTCACGCTGCTGTGCTTCGATCTGCCTGCCAGTGTTAGCAGCAGCAGCTCAATCTGGAAGTACCTACTCGTACATCAAGGCTGCACGAAACCTTGCGCGACAGCAGCCACCACGCTTGTATCGACTTTCATGTAATGTTGCGATGTTAGCAGTTCTTAGTAGAGCTTGTTTATATGTTTTTGGAGCTGCAATACTGCCTTAGTGTTGCTGTAGAATGAAGAAGTGTGTTTTACCGCCAAACAGGACACAGAACAGGCTTGGAAGATATCAACGCGGTTGTAATTTTAAGCTACAAAGGCATGCGCAGGTGTAGAATTGTTGACAGCAAATTATTACGTTCAGTGCATAACGCTTAGAGAGATGTGGTGGAAGCAAGACGCGTTCAGGATCGAAGTATTGGTAGTTGTGTTCGGCCTGGCGGGATGTTCGAATTGCAGGGAGGGACGTTAACGCGCCCCTCTGTGTGCCGAGAACCCCGCCCTATCGAGAAACACGAGGGTTACTTTGACTTCATACCACTTATATTATGCGCACACCGCGATATCTCCTATGCTGCTGTGCTAATCATATGTTGTAGGCAGCCCTCAGCATGCACGCACCTTCGCATCTCAAAACTACCATGACGCTGTCGCTGTCGCTCCATGTCTGTAAAGATATCTATTGCGCCAAAACAGATCTTCCCCTCTTCATCACCGCTTTCAACCTCCTGCTACTATTAGAACCTATATAAAGAGGTTCTGTCTAGACCTGCAGGCAGCACTATCGTCCTAGAGAGCTATTTTGCAGCCCAGTGGCTGCTGTTGTGTGAAGATGCATGCAAGGCGGCTACGCGCGTTGGTACTTGTAACGAAAGCGGCTGCTGAGCCTGGTTAGTGTACAGTCGCCCCGCAAGCCCTGCATAATCGCTTGTGCTGTAGCTTACCCCACAATACTAAGCTAAGCTAGCCTGACAGCCGCTAACCCATGTTGCTACACACGCGGTAGGAGAAAATATGCCCACCGCCAAAAGTCCTTCACAACAGCACCCTTAGTCTGCAACAGCCCTGCTTGAATTAAAGAAGCAAATAAGCTAGATTGTAGAGTATTACACTGGCTTTCCTCTTCAAGAGAAAGTAAACCCTAGTGTTTTGTTGTTATTATGTTATAGTCGTGCAAACAGGAGGCAAGGTGTTGGTGTTCGCAGTTTTAGTGAGGGAAAGTAGCTGTTCGCGGTGGGCTTATTTTCCCGCACCGCGTGCTACATCACCCTGCAGCTGTTTCCGCCCCCAATTACTCGTCCCAGCGACGGGCGCGCGCTGTCAAGGCTGTGTGGGCATGGAGGACAAGCCTTACCTACTGCGTTGAGCCCACAGCTCAGCCGCCTGCTCCTACCGCTCCTCACGCTCACACACACTCGCGCTTTCACGCCTTCACGCCCTCACGCCCTGCTGCTCCTGCACCTCCATGCCCTCGGGCGCGACGCACGCTGCCTCCTCCGTGCGGTTCAGCCCAAGCGCGTACGTTTGTCTGTCTAGCGCGCCCATTGACCTGTTTACCACGCCCATCGTCCGCGCGCCGACGCGCTACCCATGGCTCGGCGCCGGCTCGATGCTGCAGCGTACACGGTGGGATGGATATGCGCATTGCCCGTCGAGCTGGCGGCGGCGCAGGTGATGCTTGATGAGGAGCATTTGCCTCACGACGGCGTCACCTCGACCCAGTACACGCTGGGCCGCATTGGTAGCCACAACATCGTCCTGGCGTGTCTGCCAGCCGGCCAGATGGGCATCGGCGCTGCTGCGTTCAGCGCAGGGCAAGCCATGTCTAGCTTCACGTCAATCCGCTTCGGACTGATGGTGGGCGTTGGCGGCGGAGCCCCGAGCGCGGAGGCAGACGTGCGACTGGGAGACGTCGTGGTCAGCCAGCCGGCCTGGCAGCACGGCGGAGTGGTGCAGTATGACTTTGGCAAGACAGGACCAGGCGGACGAATGACGCGGACCGGATCACTGAATGCGCCGCCCAAGGTGCTGCTCCACGCTGTCACTCAGCTGAGGGCGTCCCGCTATCAGGCCAGTCAGGACAGAGGTTCCCTTGCAACGCATCTGTCGGCCTTTGATCAACAACCGTACTTCAGCCGCGAGAAAGCCGGGCCTGACGTCTTGTTTGAGGCGACATACCATCACGATGGCGGACTGACGTGCGAGCGGTGCAGCAAGGACCATGTCGTACTCCGGACTGCGCGGAGAGCTGACGAGGATGTGACCATCCACTACGGCACGATAGCGTCTGGCAACCAGGTGATCAAGGACGGGGCGACGCGAGACCGGCTGAGCAAAGAGCTGGGCGGGGTGCTGTGCTTCGAGATGGAAGCGGCAGGCCTGATGAACGACTTGCCGTGCCTGGTGGTGCGAGGCATCTGCGACTACGCCGACTCACACAAGAACAAGGCGTGGCAGCCTTATGCGGCAGCGACGGCAGCAGCGTGTGCGAAAGCGATCTTGTCACTCGTTCCCGCGGCAGAGGTGGTGAGGACCGCAGTAATGGGAAAAGCTTGCAAGTACCGCGTCCCCTTCATCCTGAAGGGTGTACCTGTGGGGAAGTTTGCAGAGCGGCCGAAAGACACGGAAGCGCTAGAGCGAGCGCTTCTACCGCAAGACAACATGAAAGAAAGGCGGTTGCTGGCAGCCTACGGACTGGGCGGCGTGGGTAAGACGCAGCTAGCGGCCAACTTTGCCCGGCGACAGCAGCACAGCTTCTCCTCGGTGTTGTGGCTGGATGGGAGCAGCGAGAGCAGCCTCAAGCAGAGCTTTGCGGCGTTTGCGAGCCGCATCCCAGCAGGACAGATCCCCGAAGCCAGCAGGCTGTATGCCGCAGGCCAAGGCGGGGACGTTGATGCAGTGGTGAGGGACGTGCTAGGCTGGCTGAGCATGGCGGACAACAGCGACTGGCTGTTAGTAATAGACAACGTGGATCGAGACGATCAACGGCGCGAAGACGACGCGGAGGCGTATGACGTGGGAGAGTACCTGCCGCAGGTTGACCACGGATCAGTGCTGATCACGACCCGTCTTCGGCATCTGGGCCAACTCGGAGAGCGGTGGGAGGTGAGGACGGTGGACAAGGAGCAGGCGCAGGCCATCTTCAAGACGTGGTACGGGAGAAGCGTGGGTGAGCATTTCAGCGTGTAGCTGCAGCGGCTGCAGTGGGCGCAGCGGCAGCAGGCGATACAGTAACGCTGACACCACCACAGGTCAAGAGGGCGACGAGCTGCTGGGACTGCTCGACGGGCTGCCGCTGGCCCTGGCGCAGGCTGCTGCGTACATGAGCGAGACAGGCACGAGCTTCGGCACCTACATCCGGCTGTACAAAGAGCAGTGGCGAGAGCTGATGGAGCCACACGACGGCAGGCGCATGCCGCTGCGGAACTATGCGAACGGCAGCGTAGCGACGACTTGGACGATATCATACACGGCTGTGAGGGAAAGGAATGAAGCGGCCGCGAACCTGCTGCTTCTGTGGGCGCATCTGGACAACAAGAGCTTATGGCATGGACTGCTGGCCGCGGCATCGCAGAAGTCGACCGTAGCTGCAGAGCGAACATCAGCATGGCTTCAAGACATGGCGCGCAGCGAGGTGAAGTTCATCAACGCTGTTAGGATGCTCCGGAGCTACTCTCTAGTAGAGGAGGCAGGGGACCAGACAGGCCACTCGACGCACCCGGTGGTGCACCAATGGGCACTGCACATGCAAGATGATAGGCAACAGACCGTGCTGTCATGGCTGGCAGTTGTGCTTGTTGGGCTAGCAGTGCCGATGAGGGACGAGAAGAAATACTGGGAGATGCAAGCGCGACTTCTTCCGCATGCCGAGCGGTGCGAGAAGAGCGTAGTGAGAGAGGACATAACGGATCAGGGAGCCGAGGATGGAGCTAGTGAGCAGGAGAAGGATAATAAGACACTGCTGTGGGCAGTCCACAACCTAGGTGATCTTTATGGCGATCAGGGAAAGCTAGAAAAGGCAGAGACGATGTACACGCAGGCGCTAGAAGGCTACAAGAAGGCGCTAGGGGACGATCACACGTCGAC